TTTACCATGATTTACCTATCGATTTAGGCAAAATGAGCACGAGAGTAAGGTTGGCTTACATTTCATGTTCCATAAATATCTGTGAAAATTTTTTGACAGCTTGACTCATTTGATGGAAAATTAACGCGTTTTTACCATTGTCAATTCCCCTCAAGAACATTTATGCCCCATTAGACAGAGCTGCACGATTTTGTTGGTTAAAACACATCACATTCCTCTCTACATCTGATGATTTCACATCCTTCAAAATAACACGTTAGGAGCCTCGTTGGAAGGGCTGTCCACATCACCCACTAGTCACTAGTGTCTTTGACTACTGACACGTCATTTAGCCAAATCTCAGGGGTAGCTCTACCACCACGTCACACTTCCCTTGCCATTTAGTTATAACCAACTTGAAATGGTCTCTCAGAAGGCACAAAAAATCGACTTGCTGTGTTCACTCACTTATGTTAAGAACTGATACGCCCTCCATCGCAATATTGACATACCTATAAGATACAGGTTTGTGATCCCTGTAGCAGGCAAAAATTAGAAGTTACTACACACATGTGCAACCCTGACAGCTACTAACGCAGACCATAAAACACGTGTGAAGTGGACACTTTGCAAGTGACCACAGAGTTTATGCACACACTAATAATAATCAGGCTTGATGACTGTTGTGCACACCCACGAGGCTGTGATAACGCAAGGAAGCAAACACACTCACCCTGCCTCTCCTTGCACACTTGCAATGCTCCTCCCAACACATTCAACACCTCAATCACTGTGGCGTTCTGTGCACTGCCATTGTAGATGCTCACTCCCACGATGGTTTGTGGTGCCTCTTTCCATCGCTGACATATCTCCCACCTCGTCTGGTTGTCAAACAGCCTCACCCCACCAACCCCAACTCCCTCCAATTCCACGTGCGCCAGTCGCCATGTCGTCTTCTCCTGCTGCGAACAGGCTCGTTGGATGAGGCGGTGGAACAGGAAGTACACACGCTCCCAATGTGGTGAGAGGGTGGTGCAGATGACGAGAATGAGAGCAAGCAATGGCAGTGCAGTGGCTATGGCCAGCAGACGTTTGAATCGAGGGGATAGATTGACACGCATATGCGGTGTCACCACGGGTGTGGAGGGTGGGTAGGTGAGAGGAGATGGGTAGACGAGTAGTTGTGCTGCTCTGGAGGGGACATTGTCGGAGACCTGAGAATCGTGGCGTGGGTAGGTGTACGGCAATGGATCCATGTGGGGTGACGACCATGTGACGAAAAACGCTGCGACACGAAAGCGTGTGTGCGTGCATGTGGGTGTGGGGTTCTTGTAAGCGATGTGATTGGACGAAGTCATTTCTTATCAGTGGAGCAGCAGTATGCCTCCTAAATTATTCCATTTGCTGGATTACTTCCAATCAAAATGAGGCATTCCTTTTTAATGCAGACGGAATATGGTAAGAGGAGTCTTATCGGTAAGGGAAAAAGGAAACTGAGAAACTACTCACTAGCCACGTCGACCTTCTTTCCTATGTGGCTGTGATTTTGCATCTATCTAGTCTATGACGCATGTGATTATCTGAGTTGGGTTTCATGTACGGATGAGGAGGCAGAATCTCACCCCACTTTTCCCTCCTTCGCAACCGTCAAATTGGGTTCTCAAATGAGAATATTTTACCTTGGTACGATTTCCTGGATTATGAGGATAGAAAAGGGATGCAGAATTCTTCTGACCGACTAGCTGACCCCGGCACACATAAATGCTTCTAAGGACTTCTTATTCTGGCACAAATGTAAAAAAAAATTGCTTTGAACAAATCATCTGTAAGGCAAACAAATCTGGGTGAATGATCAAATGTGTTCGGTTCACCATGTATACTCACGCACAAACACCGGGAAAGCGACATGAATAGCAATCATTTGGGGCTGAAGTGGTGAGTGATTTAAGTAATTGGGAAGAAGAATTGGAGAGTCATTCAGTGATAACCAATGATGTCAAAGGACAAAGGCAAGT